GCCGCCCTGGGTCATGTGCCGCTTCTACAAAGTGATGGACGCCCTGGAGCCCGCCGACTGGTGCCAGTTCGGTGCGTGGCGGCGGGCGGGGGGACGCTGGGGCGGAGGGCGCGCGGGCCCCGGGCGCCTAGGCCTGACGCCTCCCGCCCCGCAGCCGCCCTGATCGTGCGCGACCAGACCGAGCTGCGGCTGTGCGAGCGCTCCGGACAGCGCACGGCCAGCGTCCTGTGGCCCTGGATCAACCGCAACGCCCGCGTGGCCGACCTCGTGAGCATCCTCACGCACCTGCAGTTGCTCCGCGCTCGGGACATCATCACGGCCTGTGAGCGCGCGGCCCCGGGGAACCCCAGGACCCCGGGCTGGGTGCGGGGCCTCTTACGGGGCTCCTCCCCGCCCACCCCACCCCACCCCCGCCTGGGCCTAACCGCCGTTTTCTTTCCTGGTGTCCCAGGGCACCCTCCCGCCCCTCTTCTGCCCCCCAGCACCAGCACCCTGAGGCCCAGCAGCCCCCCTGCACCCTGTGAGGCTGAGGTCCCCCGCCCCCGGAAGTTGCAGACGTCAGCCTCCACACTCCCCTCCCCAGGTAAGAGGACCCGGGTGTTGGGCTTGATGGACCTGTGGAAAGGGCCACCTTGACCATGGCCACTGCCATAAACCATGCCGTCGGTCTCTGCCTGCCTCTCACTGGTTATCTTTATGAAGCTTTTCCAGGCTCCCAGACCCATTCTGGGGCTGAGCTCGGTCCTGTCCCAAGCCCTGCTGCCCTCCAGCCACCACCACCATATCCAGCCCCTTCCTCTACCAAGGTAGGTGGGTCCTGCCCCAGGGAAATATTCAAGACAAGGAGCAAAAAAATGTAGCCTTTGGTACACCTGGGCACCCCAGCCAGCCCAGTAGGGCCAGCCAGGAGGCAGTGGGATAGGGGGCGCTTGTGACTGTCGGGCAGAGGGGAAGACAGAGGACCTCACCTGATCCAGGATCTCTGCCCACAGCCTAACCCAGAGAGCCCAGTGTCCCTCCTGCAGGGGGCCCAGCCCTCTCCATTCTGCTGGCCCCTCAGCGAGATCTCCCAGGGCACCCACAACTTCTCAGAGGAGCTGAAGATCGGGGAGGGTGGCTTCGGGTGTGTGTACCGGGCGGTGATGAGGAACACGCTGTATGCTGTGAAGAGGCTGAAGGAGGTGGGTGGAGCCTTCCCTGCAAAGGCCCTGGCAGGTTGTCAGCAGACCCGCACTTTTCTGGTGCTTCTCCCATGCTCCCCCATGTACCTTGTTCAGCCCTCTGATTCCCCGGTTCGAGGTCCCCAGCCCCTTGGTGGTTCTGGGCCCAGGACAGGTGGCAGTGAGAGCGGCCATCAGGCCTTGGCTGCAAGAGCTTCATGCTGCCTCCCCGCCCTCATTTTCCTTGGGGGCTGCAGGGGGCCGACCTGGAGTGGACCACAGTGAAGCAGAGCTTCCTGACCGAAGTGGGGCAACTGTCACGGTGAGTCTGGGGGCAGAGGGAGAACCGGGTCAGGGCCCCGTTGGCCTCCAGGGCCACAAAGCGTGGTACCTGGCTCCCTCAGGCCCCCAGAGCCCACCCCCGCGATGGCCAAATGGAAAGCGCTCAGGTCCCCCTCTTGCAAGCAGGTTTCGTCACCCAAACATCGTGGACTTCGCTGGCTACTGTGCTCAGAGTGGCTTCTACTGCCTCGTCTATGGCTTCCTGCCCAATGGCTCCCTGGAAGACCGCCTGCACTCCCAGGTAGCTGTCCCTGGCCTGGCATGCTTCCCTGGCCCCACAGCACTCCCAGCACCTGACTGAAGCTCTCAGGCTCTGTGAGTGGGTCCCACCAGCGGGCAGGGCCCAGGCTCAGACTTTGGCCCAAGGTGGGCTGCCGTCTTCCCTGGCACCCTTTCCCGTGGTCCCTCCCCGGCTGTTCCTGCGTGCCTGGGAGCCTGGCTCAAGCTGCCTCTAAAAAGGGGGTTATCGACTCGGTGCCCCAACTCACGCCCCTTTCTCTGGCAAGCAGACTAGCTGAAGGGTCTTATCAGCATGGCCCTCAAGAGTAGGAGGCAGGGCGCCTGGGTGGCTCAGTTGGTTGGGCGACTGCCTTCGGCTCAGGTCATGATCCTGGAGTCCC